ATGAGTTACAGCCATCTGTTAATGTGGACTCTGCCTCTTGGTATCCAAATGTTACTGCTGTCGCCAGAGCAGTCCATTCAGTTTGGTAATGGCTAGGGGTGCGGTCAGAGAAGGGTGAGAATGAAGGGTATTAGAGCGAACAGCTATCTGCCCACTCCTGTACCAATAAACCGCAACAAAATCCTGGGGTGACTCCTTTCTGTATCCGTGGGTGCTTTCTCCAGTCGGTTCCACTTCGCTCCTGAGGGAGATTCCCTATTTATTACGTAGGCAAGAGGGCTAGAGAGGTCCCAGCTCTCATAATTTTGAGTGGTTTAGCTCTGTGTATACATGTGTTTGTGTTGGAGGGCGGTGGAGCGTGCTAAGAGGGGGTTTTGAAAGATCGATTGCTAATTTAAAATATTTTTTGAATATTTGAACATTTATCTCAAAAGACAATCTCAAATTCAGCGAAATGAACAATACTGATAAGGAAGATGAAGAGGGTGGGAAACCCACACGGGCAAATGGAGCTGGCCATGTAACCAGAATGACAGGGGAGCTCTTGGAGGAAGGAGGCTCTGCAGAGAAAGTTTCTCTGGATCTTGTCTTCTGGTTCACAGTCCAGTGCTGTTGCGATTGTGAAAGCATTAATAGAAAATAAAACAGCAACCCGAAAGGGTAGCATGCGTCGGGCATAGCTTCTGGGTGTCTGTCCCCGCAGCTGGATGAGATCCCTCTCCCCCCTCCGCTCGCGAGAAATGTAGTAATCCGGCGGAGGATGACTTCATGCACCCGGAGCTCGGCGGCGGGAGCTGTAGCTGCAGCTGGCAGGTTGGGTAGGGGCGGTCAGGAGCTGACCACGCACATTGCCCCGCGCGGCGACTGTGGCCGCGGGCACCCGGCGCCCGGGATACTAGGTGACTCAATCCAGGAAAGGTAAGCAGCCTGGCTATTATTAGCCTTGGCCGCACGGCTCGGTGCTTTCCGCTGGGTTAATAATGGGGTTTGCAGTCCAGGGGAAGAAGGGGGAATAACCCTGATGCATTCTGCAGTCGCTACAGGGGCAACAAACTGGGATTGAAATGTTAATCAGCCAAGTGCTGGAGATTGAAGGACCACTGTTACTGGGCAAACAAAGGCGGCGTTCAGCCACTATACTTTTTGAAAAATGTTCGACCATTTCAATGCCAGATTCGTTTAGACCCTGAAGATGATTTAAAATGTGAAATAATTTGAACTGCTCTTTTTACCTTTCTGCCTTCTATCTTCACTTGATTATTTCTGATCTTGGAGCAGCAGGTTCCTGGCTGCAGCCCTGGGGAAGTAACCAGAAATCTTCCCTCTCTTTCAATGGTGCTGGGTCCTCTCTCCTCCCAGGTATCATACTGGCTCTGTGCTCATCTCAATGTCACAACACCTGTCTCCATACTGAACCTTTAGAAAGATCTCTAGAAGGAGGAAAAACTTCCCTTATCTTCTGGAGTTCAGCTTGGTTTGAGCAGCTTTTGACATCATTCTCCCTTCATTTACCATCTCCTTTGCAATCATTTCATTGATCTTTTTCGTGGATGCCATAGTCGGTTCACAGGACAATTCTTGTCAGCTCATATCCATAGTCTCAGTTCCATGACCAATTTTGTCAAGGACCCAGAAAGGGCATTGCCTCACACGGGGTTTCCTGTTTAGTATTGCCGCTATGTACCCTTACCTATGTCCTTCCCCCAAATAAATGGAATGAAATATTCTGCTTTTAGCCCAGTACCAACATGGTTTCCCAACTCCCTTCCTTGTAGTCACTATGGCTGGCTACCAGAAAGCTTGAGAGGACAAACAAAGTATATTGGAGTGTGGGGGCTGCTTCTTATGCATAGGTAGAAACAAAAATGTAAATGCCAATCTATCCAGTATTTCTTGAACTATTGTTAGTCCAGATGGAGTGTGAACAAATAGCTGTTAGGGGTTTGGACAAGGGTTGCCCAAAAAGCAAGTAGTGTGTTTGCCCTAGGATTCCCAAGAACCTCAAAAGAGTTTTCAGAGAGCCTTTCTTCATTAGGCAGTCAGAAAGCCAGTGGAGCTGCTCAATTTAAGCCTCAGGTTATTTGAACATCCTTAAGTTTTTCTCCTCATTAACAGATTCCTGTCACTTGTTCTAAGATTTCTCTCACAGACTCATTGCTACTGAGCTCAAGTTCTTATTCTTGTTGCCACCTAGGGATGTACATTTGAATAATATGCTGTGAAATGGTTAAGATGGCTGTTATGGGGATTGCAACTATACCACTTCGACAACAGAGAACAATTGGGATAAGCCAGATTGTGGCACGTCTTGTGCCAATATTCTATTTAAAAGGAGACCTGTTATCTTTAAATTTGAAATTAGATTGCGATTCAACAGCAATGTAAATTCATTTTAGTAAATTAAAATGAACCAATGAAAAAGAGAGTTTATGGCAAAATATTGTACCTCTGTTTACCTTCCTTTTTCAATGTAGCTTTTCAGACAGTCATACTGGTTCTGAAAAATCATGTTCATTCTATTATATATTAAAATTGCTTTTCTAATCACAAGTTCTGTTTTTATATAATACCCTTTAGAAAGATTTGAATTTTTTTCTTTGTCTCCATCTTCAGTATGAGGTAAAGGGAGAGGACAGGGTAGGCAAAACCCACCATAAAGTGGCCCACTTCAAGAACTGCCCCCCTGGGATCTTGAAGAACTGCAGGCTATTCTACTGTTATTATTATAATGCTATTGTTATTATTATGTGTTGAGCATGGTTTGAGTTTGCAATATTAAAATTTTGAGATCCTAGAATTTTGACCCAGGCATACCATCAAGAAGAAGAGGTAACAAAGAGCAAAATCAAAAACAAAATCAGCTATTCTGTCACCTTTCCTTCCTAATATGAAAATACTTGACAACATAAATTGTTGTTCTTAAAAATAATTAGTGATAAATATTAATAGGATAATTCTTTTTAATAAATTAGCTAAAAGCATATGAAATATAGATTATAAATTGATCTTAGAAGTAAAATAAATATTCCTTTAGTGTTAAGAGTCATCTTTTTGTTGAAGACCAGTGCATAAAAATATTCTAATGATGTTTTGAAATTGGTAATTTTTATTATTTCTAAAGAAACTACATTATTTGGCAAAACATAGCATCAGGATTAATGGACTGGTGTTGTTTAAGGTGGTGTAATAGCTGCCAGTAATTTTGCAGGTAAGCTTACTCCACTAAGTTATTGATTGGAGTTGAAGAAGCCTTGTTGGAAAGAAAGAAAACAAGTTAGAAAATTTAAATTTTATTTTGGTACAATTAATAAAAATAATTAAATTGGAAGAGTTTCTGAATTTGGACCTTGTTATGTTAAATAATTTTGAGGAATGTTTCTAAATTTAGAATCCTCAGCAGAAATATATGTATGATTTTGTGACTGGAACTGATTTATGAATTCATTTCCTTTTCTTTAAATGGGGAGAGGAAAAATTAATTGGCTAGTGTTTGGAAATGAAGGCAAAATGAAAAATGGAATGATGTGCATGATTAGATACTAAATTAACTGCAGGCACTTTTGTAGTTTTGACAAGATAGAATTGAAGTCAATCTATTGCTTTCTAATCACAGGAAAATATTTAGTCTGGCAGACAATCCATATTATGATCAGCTTAGAGACCACAAATTTAGGGGATAAAGTTGCTGTCTCATAACAAAAGAGCATTTTTCTGGTGCTGCATTACTGCCATTAGCTATAATTGAAATAGACTTAGCTTGAGATTTTGAAAAGTAGAAGTAAAAAAAAAATTAGACATAATAATAAGGCTGAGAAAGAAATGTCATTTCTTTTCAACCAGTGTCTCCCCTGAGAATGTACTATTTTGAAAGTTGCCAATGACCTCTCAATTGACAGATTTCTGTAATATTTCATCCTGTTCAGTTTTATTAACAAGTAGTATGTGTCAAGAAGCTCTATGATACCTCTTCATATAGTTTCTCCTAATCCTGGGAAATCCATGCCCAGCGTAAACCAATTGGTCTTTACTTCCATTGTGTGCTTCATGATGTCATACCTTCCATTGTGTGCCTCAGGATGTCTTCGTTTGTTCCTTGAGCCCATCCCTCTATGTGTTGAAACCCTATTCACATCTGACATTGCCTCTTCCATGAAGTCTTCTCCATACCTTCCTCTTTTCTTTGGTCAGGTGTGCTTTTTTATTTTTTTCCTTTTTCTAAATTCCTATAGTATTTTCTACCTTGGTTTATGCTTTCATGTGAACACTCTGTCTGCTTTTCTGATACAGCCATAGACAGCAGGCTCAGGGACTGAAAATTTTTTGTTACCTACAACTCATAGTATAGTGCCTAGCTACATTACATAGTAGCTGTTCAGCAATTTGATTTTAGTGAAGAAATGAATTATTCCCCAGAGGCATATATCTACCTACCTACTCTTCTCCCTCAAATCAGTGGGGCACTCAATATTTGTCCATGTATTGATTTACTTTGTTTATTTTAAAATTTATAAAACCCTTATTTAATAGTAAGAGTGAAAGTACAAATAACTATATTCACAAAATTTATTATTTGTATTTAGCTCATTTATATTAAAAGCATGGCAAGGACAAAGAAATAAAACTTTAAGGAAGATATTGTATCTGCTTACAATATGCTTGCATTTCAAACAGGGAATGGCACCTAACACATATGAGCACTTGTATCATTTCAAAGCATTAGGTAGGGACTTCATCTTTGGCATAGCACTTAATGCTTCCACTACATGCTAATTTTATATTGAAAAAATTGAAGTTCAGAGATGTCATCTAAATGGCATGAATTCTTTCCACATTACCATGTGACTCTTTGAAGTGTAACAGAGTGAAGGAAACCATCTTTAAAACATTAAGGTCAGAGCCATCAGAGTAGTTTCAAATTGTTTGGTGATTAATCTTTCTAGTGTTTTTGTTTTTTGTATACTTTGGGTGTTAACATTCCCTTAGGTAACACAATAAAAGCTATGCATTTTCTCCCAAAACACATACCACTCTCACACACATACACACACCCTATGACTTTGTATACCAGAGAAGATATTTACACATTCAATAGAACTCTCAAGGCTGTTTTCCTTGACCTCTCTGACAACACATGTGTTTTATTAGCCCACACATTTCCCATGTTTGGTATGAGGTTCTTCTATTGTCTCCCGGCCTTAGGACCTGAACTGAGAACCCTTCTTTAGCATTGGCACAGACAGCTGAGATGACAGGGAAGCAAGTGCCAGTGAGAACAGTGATTCAGAGAACCTTGATTCATGGAAAAGACATCCTAGAAGGAGCTCTGAATATGACACATTCCAAATGGTTTATTTAGGGGTTTCCAATCAAAACCATTTTCACAAAAAAAGAGACAGTTCTCAGACTTACTGTACTGCCAAATATGTAGCAGAACATTGCCAGCAGCTGACTGGTGTAGTCTACTTTGAAATATATTCATTTCTCTTAAGATGGATTTGTATCTGCCTCAAAGTTACTATTTATTTCTGGTAATTCTGTCTGTAGTAATATATTTGCTTTTGCCAAAGAAAGAATGACAAATTATATTCATCCTAGGTTCTAAAACAGCTGCCATCCTAAAGAGCTACACATCAACTTAGAAACATAGAAATGCATTAAAATTCTTAGCTGACACTTAAGGAGATTCCTACTAGCTATCATGGTTCCTGCTAATATGGATATTTCCAAGGGGTATGATGAGAATGATATTCATCCAGAAGAAAACAAGATGCAGAGATGGAGAAAGAAAACTCAGAGGACAGCCTAAGCTGTTGCTTTCTTTACATTTTCCCCAAATACCTTTCTTTGTAGCTAAAATATGATAATTGTATAAGCTACGAAAATAAGTGAGATTTTATAGAAACTTTATTGTATGCCAC